CCTTTTTTCTGTACTTTTGAGTTTCGAATTAATTGTAAGTCTGAAGAGCACCCCTTACTTTATCTCCCTCCACTTCCATGCCTGGTGGTGCATCCTCCCCAGGTGGTCCTATCACCCCTGGAGGCCCATCATCCCCGGCAGCCTCCTCCTCTGGATTTAACTCGGACGTCCCCACCACGACCTCCTTCCTGAGCTGGAGAAAGTTGTCCAGGGTAAGGATTTCTTTTGGGTGATGGGACAAGACATGATGTTTAAAACTGAAAGTAAAAAGTCAGGAAATTATGACAAGTTTTACTGATCCAGCTAGTTCTGCAAGCATTCATTTAGCAGGTGAATATCTTTTCGTTAACATTTATGTAACAGGGGTATTATTTCTTGTTAAATGTAACTCAATTTAGAAATAAATGAGCATGATTTTTAACTTGTATGATATTCAGCAGTTTCCTGTGACATGGTACTTTTAGGTACAATTCCAATATGTCATTATTATTAATCTCCTTTCTTCTCTATGCATTTTACAATATATTTCTCAAGCTTAAACGTTTGTTTAGCTACTTTTCAAAATGATGACTGTAGAGCTGTGTTGGGATCTGTAAGACTCTGTCATAGAGGGCTGTTTTACTGATCAGGTTTTCCTCCCAGGATATGTACGTGTCCCAGAGTTTGTCTGATCGGAAATCCTTACCACATGCTGCTACAGCTTTCTCATAGATTCTAAAAATAAAATCACAGCAAATGACATCAATGTCAAATAGATGCTTCTTTTTCGGCTTTAATGATATCCTTTTATTCCTTCATCTAATATTAGTTAATAACACACCCTCTAATTCCTTCCTCTCCATTCTCTAGTTTCCCATACTCTTCTGTGTAGAAGTTTATGTAATGTAACCAAAGTTCTACGCTCAAGGAAATTGCTTGTGTACCTCTCTCAAATACCTGAAAAGTAAAACAGGGGACTTACAAATATCAGATATTTTTGTAAAAGTTAGTTTGAAAGAACAATTTTATTCAATATTGATGCCATAACAAAATGTACTGTTTATCTATCACAGATGCATTATATTTAGAAGCAGGAAGTTTCTCATTCAATCTTAAATACGTCGATGTGCCTAATAATGCATTTCAAATATTGTCTCCCTTTGCAAATGTTGTTTTGTTTCCACATAATGATATCATATAACAATACATTTTTTACGTTTCTTTAGAAATATTACCTCCATTGCCTTCTCTGGTCCTGATTGTTTTTTTTCCATATCAGCATATTTTTTCCAGTAGCCATAACAGTATGGGTAATGCTCAAAGAATGCATCATATGCTTTTCTGGCTTGATCCAGTTTTTTCTACCGGAGTCAAATGAGATAAACATGATATACACTAGAGAGAGTAGTAAATTTTACTCTAGAAGTTACATACCATAGATAGTTTTAATATTTAATAACTTTGTTTTCGTCTTACCTCTTGTTCCACATACTGGAGGAGGTAAGTCCAGCCTGTGAAATCCCCTGGGTTGTCCCTCACAGCTTTCCAGTACTTGTCTAACTCGGAGTTCACTTCCTCACCCTCCACCTCATTACTCTCTACTTCTGAATATTAAAATCCAACAATTTTATTACACAATTGGAACTCATAATCTGAATGACATGAAAGCAATCAATTTTTTTATTTACTTCAGTATAAACCTCATATGTTTTCTACTATTGAATGCATTAATGTTCTTAGTTCATGTAAAAAGAATATGATCTAAAGGTTTGTCATTGTGTGCTTACGAGTTTGTCATTTAGTTTATTTTAGAGCCTTTTCTTCCGACTGTCCTCCTGAACCCTACCCATGTTAGGCATTTTTTTTTCAAGAGTGACACTTATCTATCATTCCTTCTCAGTGAATACAATATAAAATGTTTACAGTTCTTTTACTATGAAGAATTATTGGTCAAACAAATGAGGAAATATGACATTGTGCAACATCACATATAAAATTTTTCTGTACACATTGTTTCCTCCTCACATGTGTATGCAAATCTCTCCCTTACAGTCCAAACGAATTCTGGACTTTTCGGCACCGCGATGTTTCGGCACCGCGACGATTCGGCACCTGCGACGATGTTTCGGCACCGCGACGTTTCGGCACCCCGACGTTTCGGCACCTATCTAAATATTGACTTATATTGTGAGAAAAATTACTTTAACAGCATATAACTTGTGGTTGTATATTACTTTTAGGGAATAGGTCTGTTTGAAATCATCTTTCTGATTAATAGTATAAGTAACTCTTGGAAATCGAGCTGAAAGATAGGATTTTGCAACCAAGTTAGAATGGGTATGTATTACAGGAAAATGGAATAATTTCACGTTTTTTAAACACTGAATGGTTAAATAAACATTTTATTTTCATTCTGGTAATTATTTTATGATAGTTATATTCATAAATATTTATTGAAGCCTCGATCAAGTTATCTACATACATGTACATCACAAGCACTTGTTTTGTTTTTAATTTTTAACCCATCTAGTGTTACACAAAGGTATTATTACTACATATCCTACCATGGGTTATTACATTAATTACAGGGATATTAAATTAGTATTACTTGTGTTTTACAGCTGTTAAAAAAAATGCTCCCCAATTTTTTTTTTTATTTTACTATTCATAACCGTAAATTGACTTGTATTAACTTTTTTTCCGTAAATATAGTCAGAAGTAAGTTTAAGGGGACTGGCAATTTTTTCTATTCAGATATTTATTTCATGCAGAACAAGGATAGATTATTTATTTTCCCTTCCATTAAAAAAATATTATTATTTCATAAGAAGTAAAGAAAACACAAACAATTGATTTGTGTGTCATATTTAAAACAAATTGATTTAATGCAGATCATCACAAAAAAAGAAACAAATGTATCTGTTTTTTTCTTAACTTCATACTCTCGTCACATTTATAAACATTTACATATAATTATTATGCATATTTAAATTAATAACACTATTACATGTACATTGTATTTGACCTGGCGCTCTATCATACAGATGGTATATAAATATATATATATACAAATATAGATTGATATCAGAATTAAAGGATCATAGTCTAATCACTGGGTCCATACACATTGGCGCAACGCCGCAAAAGCTGACTGCTAGTCATTTCCCCCTCCGGATATTGCTTCCATGCAGCAAACAGCTTTCCGTTTATATTTGTTGTCCTTTTCTTATGGATGAGCACCATCTTCCCTTCCGAGATCAACTTAGCTTGGAGGGGGATCTGTTTTGCCTCTTTGTGTAATCCCACCAGCAACAAGTAGAAGGGAACAGGACATTTTTGACCAACTCTGCTGTTGTGCCATCCCTCTACATTATTGTTGGTGCGAATGGCGAGCATGAACACACTCCAGTTCCGAACAGGGAAGGTGGGGTTATTCAGCCACTGGCGCCACACGTATTCCATGAGGGAATCGAGCAAGTCCGTCTGTACATGCCGATCTAAATGGTGGAATGTCTCGACTTTGTGCTCTGGTGGCAAGAAAGGGAGGGCGAGCACTTGACGAATAAACTCGTGCACCTCTCCTCTTGTGTTGTAAGCCCTCTATAAAGAAATATTTATTTATTTAATACACATACTGTGCAACATATTCTGTCATTTATAAGCATTTGAAAACATAAAAACTCTTATTATGTCATAATTAAAGAATATTATTAAGAAATGGATATTTTGTGTAAACTGTTTTTCTGCTGTTACAATCACAGGGGACAAAAAGATTATACATATAGTGATTACGTAAAATTAAATACAATGTGTTAATTACAGGCCCTTATGGTTACAATATAATAAAGAAATGCCGTGAGTCTATCCATTAAAGATTTTGTTTAAAATACATGTGTGTACCTGCAAACCCAGTTCTTGGGCCTTTCTGTACACGGCCTGGGTCCAATGAAACACACAGCCTTGTATAACATATCCAGGAAATCTCTCCTGCACTGCCCTCCAAATGGCTGCCTCAAAATCAACAACAAAGCCATGGAGACTGATGTTGTCTGGCAGGAGATGATCAATTGTCCTGAGAACCTGCAAAATTGCAAGAACCTTTAATATGGTATGCAGCATTTAAATTATTACAAGGTGGTTTCATAGTAATTTAATTTGTTGCTATATACTCATATCGTTTTTTTAAATTTAATGTCAATTTTTTTTAATTCATTACTTTAATAGTAACATTATTCTTAATTACTTTTGTTTGATAAATTTACTTCATAATAATCAGCCTTTCTTTTGCTAGACATGAAGCAAAATGCCAGAGGGATTTGCTTCATGTTAGCACCACTGCGGATAAAGGAGTGGATGGTGAAGAGTTGATACCAAGGTTTGTTGACAACCCGGAATGTGGCGTCCAGATACCAGGTTTTGGCCTTAGCCAGGAGCTGCAGCTGGTAGTCCGTATACATCAGCAGATGTCGACGGCCAGAAACATAGACATCAACATGTCTGAAGTCTGGCATCTGATGCTCCAGGAAGCCCATGTCAAGCTAGAAAATTTACAAAACATGTCAGTTTCTATAAAATACAGAAATGTATAATTTAATCTTAAATTAAACGTTTTGTAATTGTTGAAATTACCTCAAAATCTAAATCCTTCGGATCTTGAGGCCGCAGGTTCTGTCTAACCCTGTTGACAATCCTTGTCATGTTGGCAGGCTTTGGACGACTGGCAGGGGGAGCATCAACATCTGAAGCGGCATTCATGACATTTTCTACAATGCGGGGTGCAGACTCTGTAAATATGTTATCCACCGCCTTTTTCTTCACCTATAGTATAAAAGGTTAATACATATAATAAGAAAAGATATAATGAATTAAAATGCTACTATTGAATAATTTGGTGACTGTTTTACAATGTGCAAAAAGCACAAACTATTCCATGGTGTTTATAAAAAGTACTTACAAATATTTTAATAATCTTAATTAATTATATTTTACTATACATATGTATTATTGACTATCATAATAAGAAGAAAAAGCTACCTCAGCTTTCATTTTGATGGCTAAATGGACTCCTGGCTCTGCAGGGTGAACGTGATTTTTAAGGCCTTCTTGGAAGGTGTCGCCTTTTTGAATCACTGTGGCTGGACAGTGCTGCTCCTTCCCACGTTTGCTGCATCTCCAGTAGATAGAGCCATCTCCTCTCTGCTTCTGATAAAAGTTTAAAATTAAATTTTAAGAGTATGTAGAAACAATGTTTTCATTATTTTTTGCGTAAATTAAAACTTTTTACATTGTTTACTGCATAAATTTTTATTTTACAAAAATGTTTCCTCTTTTGTATAATTTTTTTTACCTTAATAGTATACTGGAATCCACGGTTGTCTACCAGTTTCCTCTTGCCCCGTTTGGTTCCTGCGTCTACCACTGCATACTCAGCAACCACAGCCTCATCCTCCTCTGGAATGTCACCAATGATTTCTTCTCTAATGGAATCCTCGTTTACAGGAGCAGGAACAGCAAAAGATGTGTCCGCTACAAAGGACTGGTCCTCTTGCTGATTCTAAATAATAGTTAATAAAATTGAATATTCATACATGTATATAACTATTTCAGTGTAACTGTTTCATATTCATAATTATAATTTAAAATTTAATGTTTATCATTTATAATACTGATACTATAAAATGAAATTATACCACAGGTCTGTCTTCTGGATCCACCACAGGTCTGTCTTCTGGATCCACCACAGGTCTGTCTTCTGGATCAATCACAGGTCTGTCTTCTGGATCCACCACAGGTCTGTCTTCTGGATCAATCACAGGTCTGTCTTCTGGATCAATCAAGGAACCCAAGGAAATGTGAAATGTGGCATCTGCTGGGGCTGTTGATGTGTTGTCCTCATTTGGTTCCTCCTCTCTTTCATCCTCCGTGTGCTAAAATTATTAATTATTTTTCTACCTAACTCTTGTACACCAACTATTCAAGTTTCTTTGACATAGGAAACAGAAAAGGCTTTAAAATGAATAATTAAACTGTAATATATAGTACAATTGGAATGTTGGAAGCTAACGTTTACATTCTTAATCACGTTAATATTGAATGTACCTGTTCCGAAATGTTCTCTCGATCCACCAAGGAAGTCAGGGACATTTGGAAAGTGGCATCTGGAACATCTGATGTGTTGTTGACATCATCTTCGTCATCTTGTGATGGAACCTCTGAGTTGTTGGTACAACCTTCGCAAGTCCAATCAAAATCTTCCTGGTCGTGCACTAATCTTCTGTACTCAGCTCTGGTTATGCCTGAAAATGTTGAATTATACCTTGATTAGATTTTAGGATTTACAAGATTTTGAATTTTAAATTGATAATCCCAGCAGCATATAATCTAGATTTAATACTTTAAATTCTTACCAGTATTGCAAGTTCGATGCTGCCAATGTTGACATCTGTCGCACTGAAGCGCCTCCTGTCTTGGTCGAACAAAGGTATTGCAGCTGATGCAGTTGTCTGGAAAAGCAAAAAATTGATAAAGAGAACATCACAAATCCATATATTTTTGTAAAAACTTAAAGTTTCAATATTAACATAATGTAATGTTGAGAAACTTTTTTCACTGCATATATTAATGTCACTTCAATTTACTTTCAAGATGGAATACTTAGTCTAGTAGCTCCAAAAAGGTTGAGATATATGTTTTGAAAAGTAATAAAAAAAAAAAAAAATCCCATATATAAAGAAACCGTAACTATAATTTGTTTTAAATTTTTGGGCACAATGTGAAAATCAGCACGGAACTTAACTCATATCATTTATTATAAAAAAAAAAATTAAAAAACTAATAACTTCGTCAAGGAAATATGGGAAAGATTTAGCATTAAATATTGTATATATATGACTTATTTTGGTACACAATGAACGTACCAAATTTTATAAAATATTTTAGAAATTGTAACCTTGACAAGTTCAAAATTCTGCCTTTCTTTATGCATTAATCAATCTATTCAGCTTTTAATTATCACTTAACACATCACTGCCAAACTGGAAATTATTGAGATGATAACTTACACTGTATGTGCAATAAATTCTAACAGCAGCAGACTTCACAGAAATCTACATGAGGTCGTATAATTAAGCAGTAAAACTTAATAATTATAGGGATGCAGCAGACCTGATAAATGACCCCTATATTCATTTCTTATTTGGAAATTAATTATTTGAGGAAAAAAATACACATGGCATTATATTGATGCAGACGTAAATAAAATATTACTGTTATCAATGATAAATTGCAAATGTCATTCATTTCTATGGAAGTATAAGATTTGAGTTGTGCTTAAAAATTACGGTACTATATCACTCATCGCATGCATGTACAATCATATCTTATTTTTGTTATGTACACTGTCTAACCGTAATTAAATATTTCTATCAAGAAAAAATATCATTGCTATGCAATATCTTTTTTTCCTTCGTATTTTAGACAAACTAGCATTCACTGAAAATTTATATATCTTATTTAAAAATACACGTAATACCTTTAAGCATGATAATATACTAGTATAATTAAACTATTTTTAATTATACGATATATATTTTTATATTTTCAGTTCAAAATAATCAAGCGTTTTATTATTTTTTTTATCAGTCATTTTCAACGCAAAATACAATCAAGTTTAAAACTACGCATTATTATATTACAATATACATGTATATATTTGTACATACCTGTCATTTCTGGTTTTCTTCTGGTGATGTTTGGAAACAAGTGATACATTGAAATCATGTGGAATCCTTCATATAGGCCCCTCATTTTCTGACACCTTGCGTTATATCTTGTGTATTGGGAAAAGTGACACACTGTCACTTATTGAATTTGCTGGAATTTTTCTTTACCCTCCTCAACCGTCATCATGAATCTGACACATTACGGTATTATACCCTGTGTGCTAGGGATACCTTTACTGTTCTACCCTCATTGAAAATATATTCCGTTGACAATTTTATAATATAACTTTGACATTTAAAAATTGGTTATTTAGCTGAAAAGACCAGACATGACTTGTATACACGCACATACATTAGTTGAACATAAATTATTAATTCAGTTTTGCTATATTTAATAATGTTCAACGAATAATTTACCTTATCAATAAATTATCAATTCAGTTTTTACTATATTTAATGTTCCACCAATAATTCACCTTATAATAAAAATGTCCCAAAAATTATGTACAAATAATAACAAAAACAGACTTAGAAATAAAATAAATACGATTTATTTCCAAAAAAATATGTACAAATAATAACAAATACAGACTTAGAAATAAAATAGATACAATTTATTTCCCAAAAAAATATGCACAAATATTAACAAATACAGACTTAGACATAAAACAAATACGATTTATTTTCTTCTTCCCAAAAAATTGAGGTGCCGAAACGTCATATAAAAGTGCCGAACCGTCGCGGTGCCGAAACATCGGGGTGCCGAAACGTCTTCGCGATGAAGTGCCGAACCGTCGCGGTGCCGAAACATCGTGCACCCGTCCAAACAATGGGGACAATGACTGTTTCTTTACTTGTGAATACAAGTTTCCATATGAATGGTTATAAAATAACTGTCCAGTATCTCCTAAAATTTTCCTGTTTTCTTTCTTATAACATTAACAGAATTTAATGTAAAGATTGCTGATTTTTTGTGACTCCTTGTGTCTATTTCGTTCTATAGCAAGACCTCGCGGTAGTTCGACTGTACTTAACTTTAATATGCAGATCGTAGTCTACAATGAATGAATGCATTATGTATTCCTGATAAACTTAAAGATGCTGTGAAATCAGTTTCATTTAAGAAATAAAACTCTACACTTATAACTTTAAAAAAGAAAACAAAAACAATCATTTTGGTGTAAACATAATCCCAAACAAATAATTTTACCGAGATATCGAAAGTAGAAACATAGAATAAACACGATGATTTTCATTTAAATATGTTGCACATACTAATTGATCCTTCCAATAATAACTTTATCTAAAAATGCGCTTTTAAAAATGCTCCTCTTACCCTGATGCCCCTCGATTTCATTCTTTACTTCGTCTCCAGTCAGAATCGACATTTTTTCCCTGTTTAACCGGAAGTCAATTTTTGGAACTCTTCAGCATATGAGATTTTTGGTTCGGGATGTGAAAGTAGCAACAGATAGCAAGTGAGATACACTGAGACAGTGACTTCAAATATGGGGATGGGGAATGTACTTCTCCTATCACAAGTTATTGCGTTTTTAGTGTCATTTCTTGGTTCTTTTTTTATTTTTATTCCGGTGTCAATAAACTTGCAGGAATTTGATGGAAATTGTTTACTTGGAGCAAAGGGGACTTGGAACTACAGTTCAGATGTAAAGAGTGTGATTCTTATGAACATCGAATGGGGTCTCTACAGTGACTGTGGATTTTCTGTATTCGTTGGCGTTATTATTATGATAATCTCAGTGTTTTACATCATATGGCAATCAGTTTATTTGTTCAAAAACACTGACAGGTAATGTACGTTTTTAAGAGGCGGATCTAATTTCTACTATTAAATAATAACTACACATTTCATTTACAGACATCAGAATAGATTATATATAATAAATAGCATCAGAGAGGATAAAAAAACTTCACTTATAAAATCTTGGCAAAATTTGTCGCTTTTCTGTTTGTTTGTTTTTTAAACCTTTTTGCTTAAACAGTTTATTTTTAGATCAAGGTCTTGTGACATTTTGGTGATATGTACACATGTCTGGCACTGACATTTCAATAACTAGAGTAAAACTTTGCATTAATATAGATCAATATGTTATATAAAGGGAGGACACAATTCATTGGGTTATCATAAAATTAGTGATTTCACAGTAGCTAGTTTAAATATTGCTGCTTTTGAAACTTTTGTGCTAAAAATGTAATAGTACATGTATATCTATTGAGTAACTGTATATCACAGTAATTATCACCAGGAATGCAGTGAGGCATGAATAAATATGGCTGTTTATAATACGCTGAATTATTAATCAGTAAACCAGGATAAGGCTTTATTATTTATTTCAGGAAGTAACTTTATGGTCATAAATCCACTTACATAGGTGTAAAGGTACAAAGCCCAAAAACTATCAACTTTGAGCAATTGCTCTGAAGGAATACATCTTGGGAGCCATTTTTTTTCATACATTGTGTTCTGAAAAGTTAAGATTTCATTTGAAGTTCAAAACCATCACTGCACCAAAGTGCAATTTCATTTTATGTGCTGAAAGAATTCCTCATTAAGAAATAAAGGAGTAATTAATTAAGTTGGTGATTTTAAGCTATAGATATGGCCAAATGCAGTTATTATCCTGAATTTTTTTGGTTAACGAGTTTTCTTAATACATGCAGACCTGTATGGAATTTTTGATGATCACCTATAAAATTGTATTCATTATTGATTAGGGAAATTGAGGATATTTTACACTTGAGTTGTAGTTTGTACATGCATTGTAAACTGACCATTATTTACTATTGCAGTTCCTGGTTGGATGCCTTTGTGACCTGTATTGTGTGTATCACTGTGTGCCTGCTGCTGTTTATCTGTGCCCTGGTTCTCAGTGTGGGCTACAATACATGGTGCCACACCTTAACAGGAAGAAAATCTCCTTATCTAAAGTCAGTAGCCATGTGGAACAAAAAATTATGTTTAAATTGGCCATAATCTTTTATTCAGTATGCTTTGCATTAAAATTGTGAATGTTGTAAATACTATATTCTGCAAGTTAAAACTCTTTTTGTTATTACAGTTTAATATTTCATGTATTATATTATATTGTTAATATCATATAAAGTTTGCTGCTTTACCATTTTTCATAATTTATTGCCAGATACACATGCACATATTGGTGCCAATAATATTAATATCACCCAAAAATGAGCTGTAAACATACTAAATTGAAATGCTGTAAACATTCATAAAAAAAACTTATTTTCTTTCACACAGATGTGAAGATACAGAGATGAATGTATTTATCACCGATTCAAACATTTACACAAAGAATATGTTTGCAGAATTCAACATGGCACAGGTAAGTACACAAAGTACATTTAGATTGTGATGGTCAAGAAAATCAAGAGAATTTGTAAGATCAATGCATTTATCACCCATTCTCAATATAAGGGCTCAAATAATGTCGCCTCATTTTCATTTGAAAGAAATATCACTGATGTAATTTCTAAATCAACATTATAAATAGTCATATAACAATGAATAAGAATTCGTATAATTATCGATCTGAAAGGGTATTTAAGGAGTTCCAAATTCAAATATAGTAGCCTATTTGAAATGTACGTTACTGTCGCCGAGGCAAATATTATTCTGAATCCCCTCTGTGTAGCATATAGTTTTGATTCTTAAGTAAAAATTTTCTGATAAGTTAAACCTTGTATCATATATATTTCTTTTCATAACAATAAATACATTTTCTTTGTGATAATAAATAATTTTTATTGTGCAATGTCCCTGTCGCTTAATTCTATTTCAACCACATTACAAGCAAACACAAAGATTATACACCTGATAGTTTTGTTCTCCTTTATTTATTGATGGGCTAAATTTGAAATTTCAATAGATTAATTACTCCTACTTAGATAATGTAACATGAAATTGAACAATTTGAGCAACTTTTATAAATATGTTTACGGAATGAAAGACATTTTCAATCGTAGAGATAAGAAAGAAATGTACGTTACCTATATTCTTCCATTAAGAATATATATTAAGTAGAAAATATGAGACGACTCTGAATAAGCAACCCCTTGTATCCTGTAAACTGGCAAAGACGTTTTGCTTAACACAATTAAAAATTATTTTTTACATGAAAAGTGATCATTTGAAATGTACGTGACTGAAATGTACGTTACCATGAAATTTGAATTAAGTGAATCTCGCACGAATTTTCTTGTATTCTCATACTTTCACACACTCGAATGTGTACACAAAGGAAAGTTTCAAAGGTTGGAGGTCGGCTAAATCCAAAAATTAATGAAAAGAAACGTTTCTGCGGAGGAAAAAAAATATATTAAGGTCAATTATATGTAATATAATTTTGATACCTGGTATATATTTCTGAATAGGAAACCTGTATGATGCATTTCTTATGGTATGCAAGTTCAAATAGTATCAATATATTGCGTGTCTAACGTACGCTTGTGGAAGAGAATTGATTTTTATATTTGAAATGTACGTTACGTATGGTAACGTACATTTTACGTATTTCTAACTGACATTTTTTAAAATTTAGTCAATGAATTGCGTTTACACGAGCGAAACAAAATTATCGTTACAATCCATTTGACAACTGGCCACATAAATCCATCTAAATGCACCCCCAGTCCTCGTAAATGTGGTAGACTGTTACCATATGCTAGAAAATTTATTTCTAAGTGTCTTAAATTCATCTTTGGCAACCTTTTTGCAGTTTGTTTACTTTTAATATGCGACTTTTCGTCAATATTAATTTAATTGTTGTTGATAATTTAAAACAAGGTATGCATAGGCTTATAATTGGTAAAAAAAGAAACAAAAAATAGAAAAAAAAGAAACAAATAGGCCTAAACCCAGAACACAAGACGGTCACGTACATTTCAAATACTGAAAGGCACACAATACTCAGTTTTGTTTGAATCATTGCATTTTGGGTTATATTTTTCCAAATCTGCTGAAAAGCACGTATGTTTGTGTTTTGAAAAACGATGTTGCAACATACTAAATGAAATTGTTAACAAACTGTCGATGGATATATTGGAATAGATTTATGTTCAGTTTCAATGGCCAAACACGAGCATTTGTTAGATCATAGCAAAATACGTCTGACTCTTATATTTTTTTGTCTGTACCCTTGCACACAGGTAGAAGTAACTATAGGCTACGACCGGTGTCAATTTCAGCGAAACAGCACAAAAGAATGGTAATGAACTGAGGTGGAGGGGACTCTCCAATAATATGTGAAATGAACGTTACCGAATTGACGTGACATTCATGTAGTTGATGACAAATAACCTCGTTTGTGACATTATGATTTCTTATATTACTGCCTTAAAACGCTTCATTGAAATGATTTTCATGTCAATAATTGCTTTTTTTTCAAATTTTCTTATTACTAATTTACATATTATTACAAGCTTGAAATGTACGTTACCTACTCATATTCTAAGGCAATTGTGTCTTTATAGTGGTGTTTGCGACATATAACACAATGTGATTACATAGAGAATCTTTTTTTTGATAAACTGAAACAAAACGATGAATTTTTAGATGAATTTTTAGCTTTTTATTAAACAGAAATATATCTTGAAATGTACGTTACATTTACGTAGTTTTCTAAATCGGCATGGATATATGTTAAAAAAGACAGTAACTACAAAACAGAATTTTACTACATGTACATGTTAGGTTCCAGTATCTATAGAAAATGACAAGATTCCAAACTCATCGCTACAACAAAACAGAGAGAAGAATTTAAAGCATATATTCAAAAAATGTGTTTATACATCTGGATCAGAAAGTAACCATTGTTTTTTTGAAAGGAAAAATCAAACGCACGTTCGTATGCCGAGAAAATATGTTGCTGACAGAGTTTTTTTTTTTTTTTTTTTTTTTTTTTTTTTTAATTTATTTATTCACACAACATACAGCATTATATACATATTTCAAAAGAAACAGAATGATGTGTTTTTTATTTTAAGAAAGACAGAAACAATAGAGAGAAAGATAGAGGGGAGAGCAGAGAGAGAGAGAGAGAGAGAGAGAAGAGAAAGAGAGTGTGTAAAGATTCAAGTTAAGAGAATAGCAGATTCCATCTGTTCCACTGGGTATCAAACTTTTCCTTTTTACCATTCTTATAAGAGATAATTTTCTGTGTTTCATAATGAAATTTCATTTGTGATATTGCATTTTGTAAATTAATATGTTTCTTTGTGCACCTGGCAGTATAAATATAGTATTTAAGCCAAAGTAGAATAACAT